TGTCAAGTCATTAATTATTCACTGGGTTTTATTTTTGCTGATAAAGTGAAATGCAGCTAAATTAATTTAAATCTTGTAAAATTACAGTGAATATGAACAAATCACAAAATATAGTAAAAATAAATACCAGTGAATATTGATGTTTTCTACAGTATATGCATTCTTAGTTATTAATACATAAACATGTTATCATTTATATATGGTAATTTGATAGCCTAAACATATTGTCAATCAAAATGTTTTTTTTTTTTATGTACTGGTACAAATATACAAGTGAGAAGTGGACTGTGAAATTTGTTTAAAAATAGTAACGCTTAGTCTTCGAATCATTTTGACATGAGCACAAATGTACATTTTTAGCTCCGCTGTCGACTTTGTCGAGCGGAGCTTATCATATGAGTGATTGTCTGTCGTCGTCCGTGTCAATGTTTTACTTTTTCGACTTCTTCTTGAAAACTAAAAGCCTGAATGCTTTGATACTTGGTGTATATGTACCTTGGGTAAACCTCTCTCAGATTTGTTCATTTCATGATGATATCTTCAATTCTCTGATTTTAGTGAATATTTTTGTCATTTTTGGTAAAAAGTGATATTTTCGACTTCTTGTTAAAAACCGCAAGTCCAATTGCTTTGATATTACATATATAGGTACTACATGTGGACCTCTCAGATTTGTTCATTTTCTAATGATATCTTTAATTCTCTAATTTTGGTGAATATTTTTGTCATTTTTGGTAAAAAGTGATATTTTCGACTTCTTGTTGAAAACCGCAAGTCCAATTGCTTTGATATGTTATACATATAGGTACTACATGTGGACCTCTCTCAGATTTGTTCATTTTGTAATGATATCTTCTGTTCTTTAATTGCCATGTGCATTGCTAACAGCAGAGCTATCTCAGCTGACGGGCTGCTTGTTTTAAAGAATGCAGAAATCTTACAACTGCCACACATCAGTTACTAATTTTCTTGTTGATATAAAGGGTAAACTGTTTTGTAGATTCTCAATCTGGTGGTAGGCAAATCTAACATGAGATTAACATGTACAGGTTTGAAAAATTAGCGTTTGTGGTTCTTGGTTATTTTTTTGGGTGCATTTTAGATACATCACTTTTCCGTTAGTCCAAAAAACCAAACTGTTTCCACTAACATGGACTTGTGGTAGTGTAGGTTAAAAAAAAATCCTTGCTAACCAAAGTTAGCTAACCAAAACTGTGTTTGATGTTTACATTTGAAGTCCTCCAAATGTGGGCAAAATTCAGGGCAATACCATAGTTGGTTTCATTTGCTGAATGTTGATGTGATTTTGCACCATTTTTGTACCGTATGCATGTTTGGCCAGATAAGAAATTAGCGTAGACAATGCATTGATATGATAGGGGGGTATCAGAACCACATATATTTTTTTCATTTCGCTATGTTTCATGCAGCGTAACTACCTGTGTGCTATATTTTTAATCTCACTCACAAATGGTAAGTGAAAACTACCAACCATAAAAAAACATTGTGCAGTGCAAAGCAGGAGAAAAAAAGTGCCTTTCATCATGACAATGCAAGTTGTGGATGTAAAAAATACCTAAACCTGTTAAATAAGTGATAAAAGTTAAATGTATTTGTTTTGGTCTCAACTTGCTCAATCAGGCGCTGCCGGCATGATCACTGCATGATTTTATGACATGCAATCCATGCCATGCCAACAATTGAATGCCACTGACCCACTTTTCACTGTTAAGTGTCATCTGCAGGTCAACTTGTTAGTGTCTGAATAGTTTTTGCTAAGTCATCTCGTGTATGCACGGTCAAGTATGGCTTATATTCATCAAATTACTGGTATGTAAGCAATTGTGCAGCATAATAAGTGTTTTTTTTTAATTGATAGTTTCAGGGGTCAAAATTGAGATTTTAGCTGGGACAGGTTGATGTACAAATTGGCCAGTCTCTGAGGACAGGTGAATAAAGATTAGTTTCACTAACTGACCAAATGTGTAGTCCAAAGTTACTAATCTCCAGAAAATTGCTTTCAAATTTTTTTTAAGAATAATGAAATAATAATGAGCCAATAATTAAAATTGTATTTTAAATAATGTCTTAATTTATCTTGCCAAGGATAGGTAAATCATCATTTTCACCAATTTGTTCAAATGACGCGCAAAATTTTTTAATTTCAATCCCCGGGATAGCTTAGGGACGACGTCAAAAGATCGATGTCGGATAAAAAACTTATTTCCTTTAGTTTGGGGGTGGGGGGTTTTGATCTCAAAAAGTTTCCATCCGACAAAAACGATTTTATTTTTTAATGAAGTCAAAAAAATGTTGGAGTATTTGTAGTTCGTTTTTTTTTCTATCCAATCATGGACAGAAATAACCGAAAAGGGGAAAAAACAGAAAAATGGTTTGGTTCGAGTGTAAATCTGAGGTGCATTTGTAAAATCTTTTTAAACCCACCCGACGGCCAACTACTATGCAATACTACTGTCCGATTATCAATTTGTATTTATTGGTGAATGTAGTCTGACGCCATGACCAATATTTATCAATTAAGTTTCAGTGGGGGGTAGGGGGGTTTGGAAAAAAACTAAAGCAATTAAGTTTTTTATCCAACATCGATCTTTTGACGTCGTTCTTACCCATGACTGGACCAGCTTAAATATCATCAGCAGTCTAAATGCACAGGTCAATTACAACAACCCACAACTCGCCACTGACATTTTCTTAATCATGTGTAATTTTAAGTTTTAATTTTCGGTAAAATATACATTCGATTTGGATACGTTTGGGGCTGAATTCCACCCATGAAGTTTGTATGGGAAAGGTACCTGCCCAATTGACTCCAGTGGTCAGCCCCTATATCATCGCCATCATAATCATCATCATAAAGCCATTTAATAATAAACAATGGGATTGTTTATTTATATGGGTGGCATGATTCACCTTTTACCTACTAGACTACATGTTGTACAAATCATTAAGGTTCTATTTATGGGGTTGGCTTGTCATAAAATATAACAAATTGTAGTTTATATCTCCACGTATCTGGGTTGCTGCTTCAGGTGTCAATCGTATGTTGATGTGTAGTAGTTGTTACTGTCGACGCCCTGAATTAGAGTACACCAAGCCCTGTATTACGAACCTCTTTAGATGTGCATGTTCAAAGATAGTTACTTATGTTGATGTGGTTTGATCAAGCCATCCTCAAAAGGAGGACATCACGTATAGCACACAGCAAATATAACTAAATTATTCATAGCACCTCTACATTCCTTGACAAGTATCAGTACTTGTATGCTGGAGTCGTGACAACCAGTGTCGGTTGTAGGACGTCTCACCTACTTGGCATTGTATTGTAAAGTATTGGTCCCTCTCTAATATTTTTTTTTGGGGGGGGTGCTAGGAAGCAGAATATAGGCAGTAATGATATCCTCTCTTCTGGTGTTAAATGTCAGTTTAGGTGTTGAGCATGTTATCTAACTTTGTTGCTCTACGAATTAATATTCAAAACTAGAGGGTTTTTTGTTAAGTTCTCTTTATAGTAATATTATGCTTCAGTTTGTAACAAATAAGTTTCAAAATAGTTGTTTGAAAAATAGTTCCTTGAGATCACATTAGTTTAAGTGTTTTTAGCTACAATAGATTTTATGACAATCAAAATCATAGTGCGTGGCTTGTGCAAACAGGCTAATATTTTTTGCATTACATTCATTAATTTTCGTAAATATTTGTTTTATTTTGCAGTGGTATTGATTTGCAGTCGTGGCTGTACAAGGTTGGCGTAGGGCAGGCATTCCTCGACTCAAGAATTGCTACAGGTGCTAGCACATTTGTAGTATCGTATGCGATTTACAAGTTGTTTGCACCAGTACGAATGGCAATTACTATAACGGCGACTCCATTCATTGTTCGATACCTGAGAAAAATCAATATATTGAAGCAGCCTGTGCCAAAATAAGACTAATTTTACATTATTCAGGGTACTTTTCAGTTATGCAAGAAAAAAATGGTGCATCATAAAAATTCTACAACGCAATCTTTGATATTTCTTCAAGTGCGCACAATTGGGATTGATTGTATTACCGACTTTCAACTGCATAAAATTTGATGTATGCTGACCGAATATCAAAAGAAGCTTATAATGGTGTTTGTACTCTGCTGTGTACTTCAGTGCATTAACAAGATGCTCGCAACTTCAATTTTGACACTGCTGCCGACTAGCGTTTGTCGTGATTACAAGGGTGTAGTGGAAATAGAACTTGGTTCTGTATGTGAAGCAGCTTGATTGTGGACAGTGTGCGTTTTGTTTTGAATTTTGAACCACTTGCAAAAATACAAGCTTGTTGCTTTTATAGTTTGGGTTTACTTATTGGTTAGCAGAAGCAGACACTTTTCTGAATATCAAATCATGCTTTCTAATGCTTAGAGACTACTTTTGAGAACTACGCTATGTGTGGATTTCGTGTTAATTTCTTAAAATTCCCATATTGAGTTTTCTTTATACTATAGTGTTTTGGAGTAGTGTTCTTATTATGAAAGTAAATAATGTGGACCCTCCCCCCTTTACCACTGCCGCCCTTGCCACCTCTACCACCTTTGTGGTTGTTCCTTATCACAAACCTTATAAATAAACCATGCAGCTGTTACGTAATTATGTTGCAGACTGACAAGAATAATTATCACTCAAAGAAAGATGAACTATATTTTCAGGCCAATATTTATATTTTATTTATGTCCCAGAATGTCTATAGCAGTATGTTTAAAGTACAGTTTAGATTTGAGTATGTGCACATTTACATGTATAGTTTTGGAATTTTGCAGGTGCAAGATGGCAATTTATGATTTTGAAATTGACTAATGCAGTTATCGTCGATATTAAGTACAGAACTCTATTCTCCATAGCTATTCAGCTGAGATTGTGTTCAGTTTATTTGTTAAGTCTGTCTTTCACTTATAATATACTTTACCCTTGTCATAGTATGTACTTCAGTCTCAGTAATGTTTTAATTTCACTTGAGTTATAATTGCATTATAAGCATTACTCAACACTTAGATTTATTAGTACAAGATTTAGTTGTCTGGGTTCAGAAGGATCAGTCAGAGAGCGGAAATTGAAAGGCTTGTTAAAAGGAATGTGATCCTTTCTGGGCAAAGTACTTGTTTTCTATTGTATATTGCTTTAACTGTAAACTCTATTGCTTGTGTCAATTATAGTTTGCCTGACCAAGAACTCTTTGAGAGAAAAGTTCTAGCTTATAGATTGTTCTTGATCATATTTTTTTTTTAAACTTAAAATATACTGGTGTGTAATTTTATTATTTGCTCCCGTTTCAACAAATAAAATTATGTATACTGTTTTGCTCTCCTCCTGCAGGAAATCGTGTTCATTTTAGACATAAACTTAGTTCATTATTATGTAAAATAATTGTATGTACAGATAAAGTAAATTACTGTAAAAAACTTTATTTTAGCTGCAATTCATTTTGGCTGAAAAGACTATTTGGCTGTTTTGTATGGAATTTATTTTCATTGATTTTTGACAAGTTTAATGTAAAATACTGGAAAAAAAAGGTATATTCGCATGTTTTTATTTTCACTGAATCATTCCGTAAGCAAAAATAGCGAAAATTAATTCAAACAAAATTAAAGTATTCTACAGTAAATCAAAACATCTCGC